GGTGCGCTCGGGTGGGGTGCGCTCGGGTGGGGTGCGCTCGGGTGGGGCGGTGGATTGGGCGTCTTGCTCAGAGGCACCACGACATGTGAGCATGGCTGGGAGTTGAACCGTGACTTTCTGGTCCCCAGTCGGCTGCCCTGCCTCTACCCCAGCTTGGCCCCTTAATAGATGGACTTATTTGAATAAATATTAATATTTGGCTCCAAAATATTGATTACTGCGCTGCACAAATATCAATATATTGATCCAAAGGAATTTTATTTAGTCCCCAGTCATTTCTGTGTTTACCCAGGGTACAGTTCACCTCTTTTTGTTCCTTAATGAACAAAATGTTGAACACTGTGTTAGTAAAAATTAATCACACATGGTCCTAAATTAGGTCATAATTACATCATCATCATCATCATCATCAATACTGACAGAAATATATTGTGTTTTACAAAATGAGTTCCAAGTTTAAGTGAACATCTAAAGAAGTTTAAATTTAAAAATGTTTATATCCTTTTCTCCTTGAGTTTTAATCCACATTTTTTAGTTTCCCATTTGGAATAAGCTGTAATCCCAAACATACAATCTGATACACGTAATTAATTAATTAATTAATTTAGCAATATCTGATTGAAACTGCCAAACAATTGTAAATTTATAAATCAAATCCAACTTTGAAACCGAAGTAAACAGTTCTTTGAGTTTAGAGCCAACAGTTTTATTAATAATTTATCGATATTTGATTGTTGTATCGCAAAAAAGGATCAATGTCTCATAATCAATATTTAGTTTATTTTTTAGTGTTTCCTGTATTTCAAATCTATAGAAAAAAATTGGTAGTAAACTTTAATTTTGAAAGTCTTCACGTCAACAGAAGCTTTTTCTGAGAATATTCGTCTCATATTTCCGTCTTCTATATTTGATCGGTTTATATTTTCGTGATAAATCTGAATCTTAAATATAGTAATAAATATAGAATAAACAGTGTAAAGCCAAATTAATCTTGTTGTTTGGTACCACAGGTCGGCTGCTCTGGTGTGTTTCGTTGAATTGTTTTCAGCATCCTGTTACAGAAAATAAAAATAAATAAAAACTAATCCTGGAAAAGCAGCCGTTTAACTTTAACTTTTGCTTTTTTTATTTTGATTTATGTTATTTCTAATAATCGTACGACGTAAGAAGTTGATCTGTAGTTATATTTAAAACCAACCAGACTAAAATCATATTTTTAGTGTTTCAGGCATCATCATCATCATCAGAAGTCCCTCAACAGTTTGTGCTGCTCTTCATCACGTCCCTCCTCCTCCTCGGTTTGCTCGTCTGAAGGAAACTTTGGCAGCGGAACAGAAACTCTGCGCGGCGACATCTCAAGAAACAGGAAGTAAACGAAGCTGCGGTCCTCGAATCGGTTGGAGCCTCTGGCTCCGTCTGCTGCGTCACCTTTTACCACTTTACACATTTTATTACAAATTTGTACTTTTGTTGTTGTTGTTGTTGTTTTTGCTGAAGTAGCCAAGGCATTTTGCACCGAGAAGTAAACATGAGTCGTCATCTTACAAATGTCAGAGGTAGAACCCTGACGGAGACCGGCAGGTGCATCCATAAGACAAACGGAGTAAACGGCCGCCGCCCGACTTTCACACGGAGACGCGGCGGACGGGAGGAAAGAAAAGCTCTGAAGGTTTGAACGGAAACGTTTGCTCCAGTTTTTGTGCGGTCCTGAGAGCTGCGCTTCTCTCAGACGAACAGGATGTTCTCTGCGGGACAGTGAAGGCTATCGGTGGGGGGGTTCAGGGCTCGGCAGGAGGGGGGCTGCGGCGGCCGGCAGCTTTTCAGATGCGGCGACTCGCAGTCGTCTGACGTCAGCTCGGCGATGTCGTCCGACTGAGTGTCCGACATCTCCAGGTCGCTGCGGATGCTCTCCGGCTGAGCCAGCGTCACGTCTCTGAGCCCCTCCCTGAGCGACGCTCCCGGCGACAGCCCCAGAGCGGAGCCGGACAAAGCCCCGCCCCTTCTGGAGCTGCAGTCCTGAGGCTCCTCCCCTCCTGAGGCTGTTGCCATGACGGCGGGGCCCGGCTGCGGGGTCAGGTCCTCCTCGCTGGTCAGGCAGAGATGGCTGGGTTTGGTCTCGATGTCCACCTGGATCTCCAGGTTGGTGCAGTCCCTGCAGAGACCCGAAACGAGACAAGTCAGTCAACAAGACGCCCCTGAAGACGTCCAGCCGCAGAGAAGAGGGGAGACAAAACCTAACAGTTCTGAAGAAATGTTGACGGCTCGGAACGGAGCTGCTGCCAGAGACAGAACTTCATCTAAAACGTCAACACTTCGATGTAAAGGTCGTCTGGACGGTGTCTTTTGTTGCCGAGACCTTTCATCCTTCATCCAAAGGACTTCTTCAGTCTGAGGAGCCACCAAACCAAACTGAATCCCTCTAACAGCTCACTCCCTGAATGGAAGAAACCAGTTTGCTCAACTCCTCCAAGGCAGACATGTCAACGTGGTTCAAAACATCAGTTCATGCTCGTTAATCCAGGTAAAAATAACGAGCATGAACTTTGGTGGTTTGAACCATGTTGACATGGTCTGCACTAGAGGAGTTGACGAGGGAGAAGGCGGGCCCCGGAGGCCATGTATCACCAGCAAACTGGTTTACTCCACTCTGGGAGTGAGTTGTTTGTGGGATTCAGTTTGTTTGGTGGCTCCTCAGCCTGAAGAAGTCCTTCGGATGAAGGACGAAACGTCTCAGCAACAAAAGACACTGTCCAGACGGCCTGAGTGAACACTGTTGGATTATTACACTTTGATGTAAAGTGTAGAGAAAACCAAGAACAGACTGGTTCCAGCAGCTTCCTGTGGTCGCCATGGTAACCACACACCTGTCGGTCACTCTCTGACAGCCCAGTTAATGACAGGCAGACAGAAACTGAAAAGTAAGCCTCAAACAAACAGCCGTCACTGGAAAACCGTGAGTTGGGTTTGAAACGTGATCAGAGCGACAGAAGACTGTGCTGGTCGCACGCTTTAAAGTTTTTAAAGTCTTCGATGCAGGACCAGTTAAAAAAAAACTCCGACCTACACTCACGTCTGGAAACTGGACGTGGATGATGTAATTGTTCATTCGTCAAACGGTTTATAAACTGAAGAAGTTTTTGTCTTTACAGAGGAAGTTCAGCTCTTCAGAGCAGGAAATCCTGAGATCCTGAGCAGCTGAACATAATTTCACATTTTATCACTTTTAACAAAAACAACCCTGTTGTCCACGGCTCTTCGTTCATCCGGCTCTTTGTCGCCCTCGTTGTATTTTAGTCGAGTTTAAAAGCGTTCGCAGCTGCTGCGATCTGATAAATAATAAATCAAGTTATCTAAACGTTACCGACTTCCTGTACGAAGCAGTTTAATCTGTAACTGATTAATACATTTGATTAACGAGAGCTAAAAACAGAAAGATGTGCACGTGATATCTGGGGGGTTGAGATAAAACCACAAGATTTTCAGCAGCGAGACACAAACTGGGTGGAGGAAGACGGGACTCACCTGTCAGGTAAGGTGTAGGAGGAGATGATGGAGCCGGCCATCCCCCGGGTGCTGGCGCAGTCACTTCCTGCCCCCAGGCTGCCCGTCTCCCTCTGGGCCGATTCCTTCACCAGCTCCCCCGGTTGGACCTCCAGCCTGGAGCAACAGAACCAGCAGAACCTGTCAGAACCCGTCCTCAGGCCCGTTGGGTTTTACCCTCCTGACTCCAGTACCTGCTGTATTTGCCGGTTCGAGTCCCCAAAGCTCCCCCAGCCAGCGTGTTGAAGTGCGGCGTGTCCCCCAGGTTCCCGGGGGCCACAGAGAGCCCCTCGCTGGGGGACGTGGTGCTCAGGCCGCTCACCGCTCCGTCCAGGCTGCTTTCTCCGAGGCTTGGGGATTTCAGGGCCCGCCACGCGTCCGCCACTGCACAACCGCACGGAGAAACCTCCTTTAGAGCCGATCGCCTCGGCGGTCGGAGAACGTCGCCGGTTCCGAGCGCTCACCTGTGATCGGGCCGTCGTCCTCGTCGAAGTCGATCCGCACGCCGCGCCCCTTCCCCCTGCTGACGCCGCAGCCCCCGCCTCTGCACAGCGAGATGGGAACGACGCCGTACACGTAGGCCAGCATGATGGGAACGCCGATTCCTGGAAAGCACCGGTCAGTGAAAACACCGAACGTGTCGTTTAGTTGAAACGTTAAACGAGCAGCAGACAAAAGATCCGGACCGGACTCGTGTTCTCACCAACGCTGACAGCTGCAATGACAGGGGCTGTGACGATGGACAGGGCCACGCCCCCCGTGATGGCCATGTTTCTTTTATGGTGAGACGTCTTCTTCAGCTCGTAGTGAGCGTAAATCTGCAGCAGGTGAGAAACAAACTCGTTGCCGTTGCAGCTCGTCAAACAGGAACAAGCTGAGTTTCTGCTCAGAGTCGTGTGATGTTGGAAAGCTACCGAGCGTCTTTGGTACGACTCTCAGCTACTACCACACCAAACTTTAGTTGTGCATCTGTAACTTTCACTGCATCGTGGTCTTCACACGTTCAGACAGGAAAAACCACGATGGCGGGTGATACGTTTATAAAAACCATCGATCAGATCAGTGAGGGCGGAAGAGTGCAAGGCTCACTCCGAGCCACCAGGGGGCACCAAACACCCGTAAACCAACATGGAGACCAGTTCCATTTAAAATAAATTATGTCCTGATTCTTATAAATCAGGGCCGTTCAGCTAAATTTCTCAGGGGCCACAGTTACTGAAAGTCAAGAGCTCAGGGGTCGAACATCCAGCAATCATTCTCATTAAGTTTGTTTTATGGTTTAAAATGAACCCAGTGGGGGGCCGAACAGAGTTCACCCGTGGGCCTGATTTGGCCCCCGGGCCGCCAGTTGAACAGCCCTGAGGTAAAGTAATAAAAGTTGAAGCAGCAGAGTCGGGTCCAGCTCAGGTTTGTAATCGAACGTTTTCAGCTTGAGCTGCTTCGACTCGTCCTCTCCCCTCGGCTGAACGCGAAGGCGAGCGCTCGTGTTTTAACTCTGCGCAGTTAGAAAACTAATTAAGTACGAGTTTTAATAAAACTTTCAATTTTTAAAAAGATTAATCCAACTCAATTCAAGGTGGCCGCCACAGCTGACGTCAACAGTTAAACGGCTCTAACTCTGACGGTTTGACAGATATTAGGTTAATATTCGGCGTGGTAGTAGCTGAGGGTCATTCACAGCTCGTACTCTTGAGGCCTAACTGATAGTGTATCTGTGTCTGTTAGCAAAATATTTCATGAACCAGAGGATGGATTTAAATGAAACAATCAAAGGGTCTATGTTTACAACTGATTAACTTCTTGAGCCAACTCGAAGCAAAATGGCCGCCACAGCCAACTGAGCCAACAAAGCAAGACTTACTATAAACCAGTTCACTCTACAGACATCAGGTCAATATTTGGTGTGGTAGTAGCTGAGAGTAGCTCCCAACAAAGCGTTTACGCTAAAAACTTTACTATTAACTTTAGGAGTCAACCCGGTTTGTCTGTTAGCAAAATATCTCTCAAACCACTGAGTTTGAACATAACTTCAAGGTAAATCTACAACGGAGTCGATCCATTTCAAGATTTCTCATTAGACGTTAATCCTCGCTGCACGGGCAGGTTCGGTCAAACTTTTATTTTTGTTTTTATTTTTGTTTTTATTTTTGTTTTTGTTCCACCTGAAGTTTAAAAAAAAAAATTCTTCAGATCTGCGATGAAAAATAATCTGAAACAGAACGACAGAAACTTTCTGCCGACTTCAAGACAAGAAGTGTCGCAGCGAGTGCGACATCACTTCCTGTCAGTGTGCGACATCACTTCCTGTCAGAAAAGTCCCTTCATCTTCCCCCACCGTTCACGTTCCCGCCTGCTTTGTTGACCTCTCCAAATAAAACAAAACAAACAATGTTGATCTTCCTCTTCATGCGACTTCTTTAAAAGTTTAAAGTTTCTATTTTTAATAAACGTCTAAAAAAATACGGGAAAATATTCAAACCCAGAAACAAAATTCCCCTGAATGTTCGCTGAAGGAACGTTTTCTAAAGGGAACAGGAAACATCATATTATGTGTTAATATAGAACAAATGCAGTTGAAGAAGAAAAACATGAGATCTTTAAATGTTCAAGGGTTCAAAACAAAAATACAAATAAATAAACAAAAAAACAACAAACTGATTTAAACTAACAGAATGATAGAAACTTCCCCGTCTCGTATCGTGCTGCGCTAATAACCGGAGCTAACGGTTTTGAAGCCGCAGTGACCTCGATGACAGAAGCTCCGTTAGATCCTCCGCAGGAAAAAGTTCTGGTTCTGATGATCAAAGACCAGGTCGGACTTTTCTTTAAGTCTTCACTAGTTAATTGAAACTATTTTAAATACCTAAACAAATCAGCACCTGAAACAAATATCTGAAGAGTTTTATATGAAGTTTTGTTCCTGAAAAAAATGTCCTATTGGTTTACATGTAGGGGGCGGGGCTTAAAGCCAGCCACCAGGGGGCGCTGATCTGTGCTGACTTCTAAAAAAACGTGAATTTTATTTTATTTTATTTTTTTACTTTTCAGTTTTAAATGCGTTTGTATTTCCGGACGTCTGTTTTTATAAATAAAGTTGTTAACGAGGGATTTAATTTCCTGCTTCCTGCTGGAGTCTCACCTTGCGCCCGACGTAAACCGGGATGCCGATGACCATGGCGGGGACGGCGATTCCTGCGATGAGGGTGATGCCGACCGGCGCTCCGATCAGAGTCCCCAGCTGCCACAGGATCTTCTTCTTCCTGCTCCAAGGCTTCTTCCCCCAGAAGGTGCAGCCGGACGGACTGGAGGAGGCAAACAGGAAGTTGTGGGTCTGAATGGCGCGAAGGGAGAGGCAGCGCCTCCTGCGGGGTGAGCGTACCTGAGGTAGTGCAGGTCGGAGATCTCCTTCATGCAGAGCCAGCAGAACTCGCAGCCGCAGACGGCGCAGGTCATGTGGTTGCAGCTCCCGTCGTTCATCTTGATGATGTAGGCGCCGCAGCGGGGGCAGGGCTTGATGTCGTCGGCTGGAGACAGAAAAGAGACGAGTCTGATCCGCTTGTTCGAGGAGGATTCAGGAACTGCTCAGAGTACGTTAGCAATGACTCTCAGCTACTACCACGCCAAAGTGTAGCTCAGTATCTGTACAGCCGAGTGAGTTGTGGCCATGTCGGCGCTTTAGAAGATCAGTTGGCTGGGACGGCCATCTTGAATCAGAGTGACTCCAAACATTAAACACTTGTAGATGTTCAACCAGGGGTTATTCTCTGAGAGTTTCATGATACAGCATCCTCTGGTTCAAGAGATATTTTACTAACAGACAACCAGATGCTGACTTTAACGCAATCGCCTGCCTGTAATGGCGGCGGGCGATAAGAAAGCGACTCTTTTAGCCGTTCAGAGGTTTGGATAGTGATGTGAAACCCAGCAGCTGATCTGAGGTCAGAGGAGCCGTCAGGTGTGCAGAAAGACGCGAGGCCTGATCAGCAGACAGCAGCTCCTCTGACGGCCAACGCCGACCTTCGGCTGTCAGATCAGAAACTTTCTGCAGGTGCAGCCGTTCTGCAGAGTTCACCATCAGACCCTCTCCGTGGGATTTTACTGCTCGTTAGCATCGTCTGACGTTTAGTTTGACTCGTTTTAAGGCTTAAAAAACTTTATCGACAAACGTTTTCTTCACAGAAACGTCGGCAGCGCTCCAGTTCTGTTGCTGTCTTTAGCTGCTAATTTTAGCTTTGAGCTACAATTCTGTCAATTTCAAGTTTTAGCTTTTAGTTTATGTTTTGCAGCTTTGGGCATGAGAGGCAACAGTTTTGCTCACTTTAGTTTTTTTATCGATTGTTTCGCTACATTTAGCTTGTATCAAATATTTAGCTGATTTTTGTTTTTGGCTACAGTTTAGCTATGGTTTTGCTAAATCGTAGCTATGTTGAGTTTTCAGCAGTAGTTTAGCTCATATTTAGCAACAGATTTGTTTCTATTTGAGTGTTTTTTGTGCTGGTTTTGCTTATTTTAGCAAGTTTTCAAAGTTTAACTTTAATCAACTGCTTTTCTAATTTTAGCTATAGTTTTGCTACCTTAGCTGATGGATGGATGATGGATGGATAGATGGATGATGGATGGATGGATGATGGATGGCGGCACGCTGCCAAAGCAAAATGAAGCTGCTTTGACCATTAAATAAACGCGATTTATGTTTTTTCCTCTTCTTGATGCTTTTTTTGACTGATGCGACTTATACGCCAGAAAATACGGTACTTGTTATGAAACTGGTGCAAATCTGGAAAAGTTTTGACATGCAGATTAAAAAAAGGCCTTGATTTGTAAACTAAATAAATAAATTGCAGCTCAACATGTGGACGCACGGCTCGCTGGTCGCTCAGAATCCGGAGAGACGGCGAAGAAGAAGTCGTATTTTCTCACAGTTTAGAGCCACAAACTGGTCTCCCAGTAAGACTCTACCAAAACTAAATGTACAAAACCAGCTTCATGAGCCTGTGACGTGAAATAAAAGAAACATTAACGTCAGCTCAAGGGATGAGTTTAATTAATTAACTGGACTGATTTTATAAAGTCTGTCTTATGTTTATTTAACAGAGAGTCGTTGATCAGCTTCAGATTTGCATCTAATGGAAGGTTTCATGACCAGATGACCTTCTGACCTTCTGACCCTGAAGACGTCATTTGTGCTCGTTTTAGGGAAGTTGCACAAAGAAGGAACTTTGTTTGACTGACGAGGAAATGACGGCGTCAGAAACCGATCGAGCAGTTTATTACTGTAGTTTGTGTCCGTTATTCAAAGTAAGATGGAGCTGTTGAATCATGACTAGAGTGAATCTTGGAGGTCGTTAAACTCTAGATCTTCGAGGATCACCGATGGGTTCAAAGTGCAGACTTGAAACTTTGTGACGTGTCGGGAGCAGGCTCGCTGCAGGAGGTGAAGCTGTGACTTTCTGACGTTACTTTGTGCAGAAACTCAGACGTCTGACGTCGCATCGTGCACAGCTGTAGCGTGCATCTTCTCACACGACCTGCACGAACACTTCTGGTGAGTGTGATGAAAAGTCTGGCAGCGCGCAGCTGTCGTGAAGCTACGTAGAGGACGCACGGAGACACAAACAAGCTGAGAAGACGGTTCAGACGAGCGACAGACGTCTCGTAAAGTTTGGCAGGAAGTTTCAGAAAGGTGTGAAACTCTGGGCTCGTTTGCACCATCGGAGTCTGGGTTCAGAGGCTGGACTGGGTCTGGGTTCAGAGGCTGGACTG